CTTTGTAAGGCTGGTATTTTTTCTTTAGTTTTATGGCAATCAGTGCACATGGTAAATATCATAAAATTACCCCTTAAAGGTCTTAATTATGCAAGGAGATAGCCAATCAAAATGAACAAATGTAGTTCTATGTATGATGTATATAGAGACAATAATATTTCTTTTCTTTTTTCATGAACTTTACGTAGGTCTACAGTTTTAATGTTGGACTCATGCACTAGGAATTTTATATCAGCAGAATTGTGCCACTGAATCAAAGGGAACTCTTTTTTTTTTAGGTATGCATGATCATGTAACTTCCTTGATGGTGTGTTGGCTGTTTGCCCATGTGTATTTCGGGGTATAGGTATGTTTAGTCTCAATTTTCTTTCTTAAAAGCTGCATAAGGGGTATATTTTTCTGACTCCAAATTTTGTCTAAGCATTAATCTTTTTTCTCATTTATGAATTATCTGTAAAAGTCTAGTTAATTAATTTATTTAATTAAAGCTATATAGTAACATATAGTGAAATTATATCCTTGTGTGAGACCTAAAGAAAATCAGGTTACTCATTTTTATGACAATTTTTTGATTTCGGGGTCCTCCCCTTTTTAAAGATCCAAAATGGTGATTTTACAGTGCGGCATGCATCTGTCATCAACGAAGAGTTTTAAACCTGTAATACCCATATTTCTACCATTCACCTCTGTAACCTTTGTTGAGTTCATCAGACGGGAAAGAAAAAAAATTGTTAATTGAAATAATTTTATCAAGATAAAAAAAATAATTAATGAAAAAAAAATTACATGAACAGACTCCCTCATATAAGAAAATGTCACATTTTACACATTGCAATTATACATCATTTACATATCCACATTTTCCCCATTTACACATGCAGTTGAATAGATTTAGTGCTTAATAATACATAGCAACAATTATTACATGAGTCCTAAGACAATTCACAAAATACATGAATGCATTAAACTGTGAAATACAGATTTCGTACATTTAATTAAAATGCACAACATCAGTACCCCCCCCCCTTCACAATCTAATAACTTTCTTTTTAATTCAAAGTCACTAGGCAACACTAAAGATTTCCACTTATTGCTTTTCAGTCCAAGACAGGAAGTTGAGGAATAAAGTTGACAGGACATCCTGAACTGTCCTTGCTACCAGCTTATGAGGGAACCAGCTGCAGTGGACAAAGAAAGTTACATCATAGGGATAATGGGTTTGGTCTGGGAGTAGTGTTTGTAGCAATTCTCGTACTTGGTCCTGCATCGAAGATTCAGGACTATTGATATTTATCTCTGCATGGTTTGGTTTTCCCTTTTAGCAAAAACAAATGCTATATTTGCATTGATTTTTGATTTTATTTGTCTTGAAAATACATTGAACATTGGTTATGCATTTATTTTTGATTGAATCCAATTCAAAAATCTTCAGACCATTGATTTTGGAATGATTGAAATTTGATTTTTTCAATAAATGTTGTTTCAATGCATTTTTTTTGCATTTATTTTGAATTTATATGATGTCACACCAATAACAAATTACACATGAAGTGATCTCTTTGGTAAATCCATGATTGTTTTTATTTTTTCTTGAAGCATTGATTCAGAAATAAATGGTAGCTTTATCAGTTGTGTATATTGCTGGTTATATTAGTGCTGACCAGCTGTAAACATATCCAGGGGGGGGGCGATAAAAATCACGTGATTACTCTACGTCACTTTATCAGCCATTTCAAATTCTGCTGGCGCTGCATCCAGACAAGCTAGAAGCCATGATGTACTTTGATGATAATGATCAACATTTTGTTGTTTTCTTCCCTGTGGACTAAACTATAATGGCAAAAGGTTGTGTAGAATCTAAAAATGATGAAGACAGCTAGTGTTGTTTTGTGACGGACAAGTGATATAAATTGAAGATGATGAAAAGAGGTGCTGTTGAAGTAGATGCCATATACAAATAATGGATACATTGTTTTCTCAGGAAGTAAGTTATTTCTTTTTTTCTCAAAATTTATTCTTAATCACTGTTTATAGCATTATTTTACCCATCATTACACATTCTGTGGAATTTCAGAGAGGGGGAACATGCCAAGTATTAAATTTCACTCTCCAAGGAAGTCTTATGTAAACAAAGATCAGGGCTTAATTTCCATCACATGCTTTCTGATCAAATTAAGTTAATCTATGCTCTTTGTTTAAGCAACACTGCTGGTGTCCACTGCTGAGCAGATAGTGTAACTATAAACTAATTAGTCTACACTACAGAATTACTAATTATGCACCAAACCTCGAAACACCATGCAGCCTTGACTCTCATTTCTTTTTTATTTAAAAGATTCATTTATTTATCAAATGATAAATATCTTCAATGGGTTTTTTTTCAGAGTATGTACATGCTCCAAGTGCAAAAATTTGAAGTTAGATCCAAGCTGTGCCACCGATAATGTTCAATAGATTTAAAGCAGTCTATAGTTAAATGGAAAAAAAAGTTTTAAATAATCGGGCCCCACAAAAACTACCAATAACAGTCCAGAAAGTGAGAAACTTATTTGCCGAGTAACATAGAAATGGAATTCAAGGAAGTGTACTTCAAATTGTGCCTTTGTGATATGTGATTAATGTATGGAACTATACTGTTATTGTGTCAGTGATTTTTGGGTTTTATTCATGTCTCACACACATTCAAGTGTAACATTTAATTAATAAGAAGTCAGTAATTCATTTACTTGAATTTATAACTGTACTAGTGAATTTCTAAGTATTCAAAATTTTGGTAAAGATACATGTTATTGATTATTAGTAATAATGTTTGCATTGGGGCATGATGCGGGAATATTTTTTGTTACCATATGTTTTTTTCTATGTTACTTCTCAAGTTTCATATCATCACTTAAATGTTTTTATATGTATTACTTTAACATTTTTCTGTGATGTCACAATAATGCTAAGTGACATCAAATAAATGCTTATACTGTATTTCATTTGTTTTGCATTGATTTTGCATTTTTCTGTGATGTAAAATTTAAAACCTTCATCTCTTTTTACATTTTTCCAAAAAAATCCAGCCAAGTTCAATCAAAAGTAATTGCAAAATAAATCAAAATCCAATGTTCAATGCTATTTCAATGCTTTTTTCCCCATACAATTTAGCAAGGAGGCATAGTTGATTTCTTTGCAAATCAAAAAACAATGAAAATCCAATGCTCAGAAAACAACTCCAAAATAAATCAAAATTCAATCAATTTGATTTTGCTAAGGGTTCCCAGAAACATGTTACTGGTGGTGGTCCCTATATTCTTCTGGCTTTTGTGGTGAGGAATGTTTCATTTCTAGCTCTTTTTTTGATCACATTTTTTTCTATCTAGCTGTTTTTGTCTGTCTGTCCCCTCTGTCTGTCTGTAAACTTTTCATATTTTCGACTTCTTCTCTAGAACCCATGGACCAATTTCAACCAAACTTGCCACAAAACATCCTTGGGTGAAGGGGAAATTTAAGTTTGTTCAAATGAAGGGCCACGCCCTCATTTAAGGGAAGATAACTGGGAATTAATGAAAATTTGATGGTATGTTTTAAAAAATCTTCCCACTGTGCCAGGAAAAATGAAACTTATGGGGAAACATCCTCAGGCAGTGTAGATTCAAATTTGTTTAAATCATGACCCCCGGAGGTAGGGCGGGGCCACCATGGCCGACCAAAGTTTTACATATAAATATATAGGAGCATTCTTTAATAATTTTCTTCTCAAGAATGACAAAGCCATAATTGATCCTATTTATATGGAAGCATCCTCAGGTAGTGTCAATTCAAGTTTGTCAAATCATAACCCCGGGGTAGGGCGGGGCCACAATGGAAGATCAAAGTTTTACATAGAAATATAAAGGAAAAATCTTTAAAAATCTTTTTCTCAAGAACAGCAAAACCCTGATTGATCATATTTATATGGAAGCATCCTTAGGTAGTGTAGATTCAAGTTTGTTCAAATCATGTGCCCCGGGGGTAGGCGGGGCCACAAAGGATGATCAAATTTTATATAGAAATATATAGGAAAATTCTTTAAAAATAACCTTCTCAAGAAAAGCAAAGCCATGATAGGTGAAGGGACTACTTTTGGATTTAAACTTTTCAATAAAAAACCAATTTTTACTTTTTCCTAGCCACAGTGCTCAGGTGAGCAGTGACCATGGGCCTCTTGTTTTTTTTGTTTTTTTTTTTGTTTTTTTTTTAAAATGAGTAGATAGTTAAATATAAATAAATCAGTTGTTAAAAAATTTGCTTCATATTTGAAGTGCTTTAAACCGACCCTTTTGATGAAAGTGACCAGGTTTTTTTCACCTTGGAAGGTTTATTGGTAAAATATAAGAAGGAAGTTATGATTTTGGTGTCACTATTGTTGTTATTTAAGTTTGATTTGATTTTTATATTACGAGTATTATGAAACTGTTATTTTGTTACTGAACGATGGTTAATTTTAATTGTGAACAAATGTACAAAGATGAGGAGTATAATATAGTTGGCTATGTATATTGCCCAATTTTTGAACATATTATGTAATAAATATTAATAACAACCTTTTTAATAATTGGAAAGACAATATTATAAATATGATAGCATTTTTGTACGTGAGCATACATTTTTGAAAGGAAAAATAAATTATTCAATTGCATTAAAAAAAATATTTTGTTTCATATTCTTGCGAATTATCAATATTCTTCTATTATTTAAAAAATTGTCATTATGAAACCTTGTTAATAATTAAAATAAATATTAATTGTACATTTGCACCAATTTTTACATGTTTGTCAAAATTATTTTCAGGAACAATTCTGAACAAATATATGCAAGTGAGTTGTAAATTTGATATGTAATGCATACATTACAAAAACCCATGACAGTGTTCACTAAAATGAAATGTATGGACTCTTATATAAATACTTGGTATATGTGATATGGATATTATGGATGATATTTTTGAGAATGACACAAGTAATGAAATTTTTCAGCATTGAATTGGATTCTTGAACCAGAGCCATGTGAACCTGGTCCACCTGTACCTCTTATTGAAGACCTGTTAACATCACCAGAGTATGTTCATTCTGATACCCCTATGGTATGGTTACAGCATGCATTATCCCTGAATCCATTAAAAGAGCTGCATTGGCAACGAAACAACCCAATGTGGTCGATTGTAAGGAAATATAGCATATCAGCTTCCAACTTTGGTGCAGTTCTCAGTTCTAAGCAAAGGCGGTAAGACGTGTGATTAAATTTTTGCGAAAAAGACTTTTAAAATTACAGTCAAACTTTGTTATCTCAAACCCATTATCTCATATTTCATGGATATGTCACAGTAATTTTGAAGTCCAAACCATTTATAAAAGACTGGGACATTTTATTCTTGATAACTATTTATGTGTTATTCTTGAATCCACGGATATTTCCAACATTTTTCTTGGTCTCATTGAGTTTGAGATAATGAGGTTCGACTGTAATGACTAGATATTTGTACATAAAGATGCAGGAAATATAAGATTAATAACCAAAAATCATATTTTCTTCTCCAGATTGACATTGTCACTGAAGAAACAGCTGATGTCGGCTTACAATCTGGAGTCCATCAAGGCTGTTGCATGGGGTATCACTCATGAAGATGATGCTTTGAGAAAGTATGAAAAGGACTTAGATGCAGCTGTAGAGCAGTCAGGTATACAGCACAAAATAATATTCCTTCAATCTCTGACATGTTAAGAGCCATTCTCTGTAATGATTTGAAATTTTATATAGGAGCTGTGGCACGCATAGTCTCAGAATTTCTCCAAACTCTATACGATAAAAGTCTTTGATACCCTAAACTGAAATCAGGCAAAAATTGGTTGCTATGTTTTATAGTTACCATGGCAACATGTCTTAAAGTTCGAAAAATGGCATTTTTTAACATGTTTAGAGCCCCATAGTTAACATTTGCGGCAAAGCAAACAATTGGCAATGACTGTTTCCAAAAGTTGAAGGTCAGATGTCTCAAATGCATGATAAACACCTTTGGTAAATCAACTATTACATACGTTACTATGGTAACAAAGTATTCAAAAGTAAAAAAAAATATTCATTGAATTTTATAAAGTCATACACGTAAAAATAAAAAGCAATTATAGGATGAAATGTGACCAAATAAGAGAAAAAAGAACCCTGAAACATATACCAAGAACAAAATCTGATATGTCATTTTGGTTGGCAATGGTTGCCAAGGTTTTTATACCACAGGAGCCTTCAAAGTAACTCTCTGTATGTTTAAATCTGACCCTATTTTTAATCAAAGTACTGTGATACTGAAAGACGGTGGCATAAATGTTTTGTTTGTTTAACAATTAAACCCTTTTAAAAAAAATTTTTTAGCAGTGAAGGTATTTTTCTGACTAGCAATTACTGCGACACAGGATCTCAATGGGAAATTTAAAGGGGCCCCATATCCATGTACGCGTGGAGTCGAATCCGCGGCGTAAGGATTGACTTCTTCAGGTCCGTGAGTAAAGCAAACCCGCTACGTCAAATGGCGACTGGCGTTTAAAAAAATTGTTTTAAGATTTTGTAAAATGATATGGAAATTATAAATGTTTATTTCAATTTTTCACAATATATGTACAGGTCTGCATTTTAATATATAAATTTATATTTTTTGTTCTAAAAAGTAAAGTATAATGAATTCTCGCTGTTATCTAAAATTGTAAATTACTATCTTCTTACAATTTTCATAAAAAAAACAAAGCAAATTTCAAATAGGTTTATGCATAAATAAACAATTGCAAATTATAAAATTTCATTTAATGTGTTGTGTCGCTTTACGACACACGGATGATTTAAAACGTTTGGCTTCAATATTGACAGCGCCTTGCATTCCTGTAGACATTTGTTCTACCCTTGGATTTGATTACTGTAAAACGATTTCGCTTAAAAACTCCCTTTTTTAGTACCTAAAGAGGAAAAAACTACTCTTTCCAGTGCGTAGTATCGTCATCAACGCCGCCGTTTTTCGTGTGTTGGATTTACCCCCTTTCCCCATTTCGGATGCTTATAAACTGATAAATTGATAAAATTATTAAGCAAATGTTTAAATTTTCCAGAAGACGACACAATAGTTAAGGGAATAAAAAATAGGATAATGTTAACCAAAATCTATTTAATATTTTTATTTCGAAACAATACTCTTTATTATTTTTAAAAACGTTTTTTTTTAATGTGGTAAGTACATTAAAGAGTTAATGAAGAATTAATTTTTTGTTATATTTTATCAAACGAATTCAGATCCTAAAATTGATAAATAAATACTTTTCATCTTGCAGTGCCTACTATTTTTCGAAAAAAACGCTTTGTACACGGCAACCCTCGTATATCTCAAAAAAAAAAAAAGGAATAACAAAATTTTTTTTGCTTTTTTTCCTTTCCCCAATACATCGGAGTTTATATATGCGCATGGAACTTTCTCCAGAATGGGGGAGGATCGTACATTTTGGCAGGGGTTTTTTGGTTTTTCATGCATAAAATTTAACAATTATGCAATAACCCTAATATTGCACAATACATATTTACTGCTATGGAACACACCAGCCCACTAAAATCCATAAAAACTTAATCTAGTATTATTTATCACTTTTTTGAATACCTTTTTTGTACACACTTTAAAGGGTAAATTTTTAGAGGCACGTTAGAGTTTCTAAATAGGAATTAAATATTGGGTAAATTGTCCGTTGTAATTATAGCTTTGACAAATTTTTTGCAGTGTTTTTTTGCCCGGGTAAACGACAAAGTTTATTTTTAAAAACTAGAAAGGTAGTAAACTTAGCAAATTTTATGGCTATTACCTCCAACAACCGTTTTATTAACTGATTAAGTGTGTGATTTTTTTTTCTTTCCCAAAAAAAAAAATAATATAGCATTGTTAACAGATATGAGAAATTAAAAAAAAAGACTTTGTTAAATTAAATAAACTTTTAAGTTTTTTAAAAAAAAAAAATTTTACAAAGCATGCATATTTAAGAAACAGTGTGTGTTGTTTCAAGTAGCAATTACTAGTAATAATGACTAGTATTTGATTTGGAGTTAGATAGTGAAACAATCATACATTTAAATCTTCAAATATTTTTTAACAATTAATTGTTAATTTTAAAGAAACACAATGTGGTCAAACTGACTTTTTTGAAATTGTGAGAAAAAATGAAAAAAAAATTGTCGAATTGACATCTGTAGTTTGCATACGAATCTAGGGGTGGTTGGTGTAATGAGTTAGTTTAGTTGGGTAATAATGAAATTCATGGGGGAGAAATTTAAAGGAAATTAGGACTTAAGACTTTTTATCCATCAACGAAATGTTTTGAAATAACTTGAAAGTATTTGTTAACTATGTACATTTTATTTTCAAACATCGAAATAAGTCTACTTTCATTATTTTGACTCTGCAAAAATGCCGCGGGGCCCTTTTGTTTTCACGACCGCGCAAAAGCCTGTGGCTATAAATAGCCACCGTCTAAAACAGCACATTTCCTCATAACTAATGATCAATTTTTAAAGATGTTGATGTGCTCCAAGTTTTCTCATTTGAAAAAATTCAGATTAGATTCTTTAAATAGAGCGTTGCTATGGAAATAAGCAAAAAATATATGCATAAAAACCTGAAAAATATTTTCTTTCCTTGGATACGTACCCTTAAATGTAGATTCCCAAAACTTTTGTGATTGATATTTATCAACAGCTAACTTGACTTTTAATTTTTGGGTATCCAATTCTAAATGGATGCAAAAAAATTTGGGACCGGGTTTCATATTGATATAAAGTTCACAAAATCGAACATTTTCCTTTCTTGGTAACCATACAACAGTGTTGTTTTATTCATCAAATTTTATCAATATATGATATTCAACTTATGTTCTAACAGATAAGTACTATTCAAGCTAAGTCCTTTAATTTGTTTCTTGGTTAAATGGCAATTTAATTCTTAATGCAGCGAAAAATAATTCACTTTTAAACTGGTACTTTGTTTCCATGGTAACACTGCAAAGTAGCAATTTACCCAATTTTTCTTATGGTTTTGGTGTTGCAAGGTCCTAAGGATGCATATTTGCCAGTCTTGAATTTTCATGTTTTTCCTCAAGACAGTAGCTTAACCCAATCTCAGTTACTGGTTTTGCATGGT